ATTCGCTCGTTCAGCGCCTAACGCTATACTCGATAATCCTTATATATATGGATATAGAGATTTTTACGACAATCAACTTCAAGCCAAAATTACGGATTTTTGTATTCAACTTAACGACAATGGTCTCTTAGGAAAAGTTACTGAAATTCGTTTAAAATCCTTACAGGATCAATTATGGACATCGCGCCCATTAATAGAAAAACTTCCTTATAATCGTGTTCCGCACACACGAAAAAATAATTATATTCTTAATATGCTTTTATTATGCTATGATAATAATATTTCGTTAGAATATTTAGATGATAATATTTTTCCATCAATTAAAGGAGGTAAAATTCCTTTGGAAGACGTGGTAGATAATGCATATTATTCTAAACATAGGAAGAGACTTCGTGAAAAGAATATCTTATTTTTAGATCAAATTATTTCAGGTGATAAATTTCGTTTATTGTTATGGAAAGAAATACTTATTAAGGCTTATATTCCTATTTTTTCACAACGGAAAGAAACTAAATGGTATTCAGATATTAGAAATTTAATTACTTCAGATGGTGTTCATTTGAATCATAATATAACACAATTATTTGGCGCTCGTGTTGATAATGTGGAAGAGACTCGATCATATGATATTACTAAAAAAAATAGATCTTTAGTTGCATGTTATAATTCACAATTTAACTCTGTAGTCATTGGAAAGATTCAAGGAATAGATGAAACAAAACGACCTGTTATTAAACATTTTCATATTGATATGTCTCGATGTACCGATACACATACTTATATATATCAATGTATGGAATATGGATGTGCTGCTAATGCATCATTATCAACTCGATCACCTTGTACGTTTTCTGCTGACTGGGAATGTTTAGTACCATTATTAACAGATTCTCAATTTGCGCCTAGTCAACTTACAAACTTAATAGAATTTAATATTTTTGACATTTTTGATTTTGCAAAAAAGAAATATGATATTATAAATCAAGCGTTAACGCAAAATCACGTGATTTCTCCTTCTTCACAATTACAAGATAATATAATTTTAGATTTATTAGATTCTTCAACTTCAAGAAATGACTTGTTAACTATACAACGAACATTAGCTCCTTTTGACAATAACAATTATTATATTTTTGAATTTTACACTGATGGATCTTTAATCGAATTAGGTACTGAGCAGTGTAGCATCAGTTGCGCCTTCGCTCAGATTAGTGATTTGTTTGATATACCTCATGTCGAATTTTATTCTACTATTGATAAATGGCCTTCTGCATATAGAGGAGAATTGTTAGCTGTTCTTTTAGCATTAAGCGTTGTTCCAAAAAATAGTAAAGTTAGAATTAACACAGACTCGCTTAACGTGATTACTCAATTTGAAAAATTGAAGAAGTCAAGATTTTCTCAAACCTCACGTGAATACTTTAAGGCTAATAATAATTTCTTATGGGCTATTTTATGTAGAATCATATTAACATTGAACTTGCATGTGGAAATGTTTAAGGTTGTTGCTCATGGTGATGATATGGGTAATAATTATGTAGATAATTTGGCGAAAATTGCACATACTGATCAAGATCGCTATATAGTTTTACGACAGAACGCTTGTATGATGAAAGTTCTTCCTTGTTGGAATGGAATTATTATTGAAAATAAGCTGCGCTCATTTTTGAAAAATATATGCAACTACAAAGGTTTAGAAAAATTTATTAATTTGAATAGAAATTCTAAATATCGCACGCTAGAAGTCGACTGGACATCCACATTTAGTTGTTTAAATTGTGACATAAATAACAATGAAACTTCTGTTTCTTCTTCTAAAACGAAAGCTCAAAAAGTTCACTTGTTAATTGAAGAAATTCCTACAATTGAACAGATGAAGAAATCATTGCTTGACTTATATGATGGTTGGATGTGCCCTATATGTGGACTACAAGACGAAACTTTTAATCATGTCTGGACGTGTAGTGGTCATTATGATATTATTCACAACATTAGAGATAAGACTATTAATCATCTCTTAACTTGGATATTAGAATATAATGATAATATACAAGATTTTAATGCTCTTATGGCACTTGATATATGGGATATATCTTATGATCCTAACGTGTTTACTTTTATTGACTTGATTAAAGGTATTATACCTATGTCGCTTTCAGAATTATTGAATTCCTGGACTACAAAGAAAAATGTTGTTGATGTTTTGGTTCAAATGAGACAGTTTATTTTTAATGCTATATTCGAAGAAGTTTGGATTCCAAGGTGTTCGCATTTGAAGGAATTTGAACATTCTATAGGATTAACTAAAAAGAAAAAATTAGAATTCAAAAGCGTTCGTTCATTACCTAGTAATAATAGTAGTTATACTAATAATATTCATTATGATTCTTTAGATAGTGTTAGGAATTACATTTATTTTGGTAAAAATATAATAGAATTTTATACTAATCTTACTTCGTAGCGCCATCGTAGATTTTAGTAGTTTGATTTATATAATTTTATAGGGTCAATTTTACTTTCTTCTGCAGGGCGGGCTTCAACTTACCAAGTTTCGGCTAGTGTATGGGAGGTAGTGGGTTAATTAAAGAAATGGTTTTTAGGTGTAGTCGGTTATATCTTTAATAGTTTCGTATTTACTTGCCCCACCGTCGAAGTAGATTCTTCTGATAGTTTAGTTCATTTTTTTATTTTACTTTTTCATTTTTGATATGTTTATAAAATTTGTTTTCGCTAACTATTACTGTTTAATAAAAATAAAAATAAAAATAAAAATAAAAATAAAAATGTTTAGCTTATTGAACAAATGATAATTTTGTATGGTCCTAATAGTTAAAATGATGATGATATTCAAATTTTCATACGATATTATCCTTTTTCTTAAATATGTAACCGTTTCGTGAAAAAAAAAAACAAGAGCAATAAATAATAAATATTTAATCTTACATACAAGAGTTTAACATTTGATATGTTGTATTTCAGTCTTTTCAGTTTATAATTTTATATTAAATTTTACTAGTAAATAAATAAATATTCATAAGACTCATATATACATTACAAAAAGTGTTGTTTAACTCTATAAATACTAACTTACAACTCAAGTACAATTAATTAATATATCCATTTATCCATTGTCCGTAACATATGCATAAAGCAATTAAAGCATATTACAAGAATCTCGTAAAAATTTAAACCAAATTTAGCAATCAATCCCGATTGAATTTTTTTTATCTGGGTTAGTTGTTGCGTACGGTATTATATATTGTCTATTATAGTTCTATAAAAAATACTGAAATAATTCTCGTTATTTTTTATATATTTGTTAAATTCGAAGGAGGAATAAAATTTTATGTTCAATATAAATCAACGTGATTAAACTTAAACATTGGCATTCAGGTTTTGCTTTCTGTACCCCATCGGGAAAACTAACTATGCTAGATAACTTGAATTTTACAAAATTAGAAAAGTGTTGAAATAATAATTTAAAAGAAATTAATATCTATACAACTATCTAGATTGTAGCTATCAAATACTCTTATACCACATGACATAAACCCTCTCCTTTTTACGAAAAGACTCACCTTTCATTATGACAATACAACAGTCTCATATTAAAAGTATCATTCCGTTCATGACAATATTTACAGACGGCATTTTTTAATGAAAGAACAATACGGGAGGGATAGTAATAATCGTGATAAAATAATCCAGAGGTTTTTGCTTCTCTTTGTTAATATTTCCAATAGAACTGGTCATACCTAATTGTTCGAGGTTTGTATAAGGCGGGACAGTTTAAAGTAATTGCTACATATTTGTTGTACTTCTGTCTGTTAAAAAATAAAAAAAAATAATACAATAATAAAAAAAATTTTTTTTTTTTGTAAAATTAAATTAAGAGATTCTCAATCAAATGAATTTTGATACACAAGAACGCCCCGCATTAAACTTTACCATATTAATCAGATGTTCATTTGGTTCAAAATTTTATTCATGCAAAGCAATGATTTTAGGATAAGTGGAGTACTTATCTGAATGAAGAATACAAAATCCGTTTTTATTGTTTTCATTATCTAATGCTATCGAAATCTATTTTATATAACTCCCAAAATTTATTGGTCGAAATCGTATCCTTGCTTAACGTTAATATTAACATTTCTGTAAAATATGCACCTTGTCGATCAAATATTTGACAAAAAAATTTTTGATTTAAGACTTTAGTAGATTAAAGGTTTTTATTTTAGTACAATATTCTACATCACAATTATTGCTGTGGCTGATCTGGAAACAAAAAATAATTAATTACAGAAAACTTCTGGTACCGTTCGATATATTAAAATATAATTTCCATGTTTCCGGTTTGTTTATCGAATTCGGTTCAGTTTGGACAGGCTCAGTGTTGGGAAGTTTGTTTTAGTTTAGTTTTGTGCATGATTAATATTTAATAGCTATAAAAAAACACTTCGACCGGATTATTTGATGGTAGTCTGTTGAAGAACTTTAATTTATTTAATATGTGTAAATAAGTAAAAATTCATAAGTAGTGCATCTTCCAACATCGTATCGAGTCAACTGATGTTCGAGTACAGTTGATACATTCAGTTTCAGCCTCCTGTTTAAGACAAAAAATCACATGTGATCGGCTTTCTTTTTATAGTTAAGAACGAACTTAATCTGCAAGATAAAAAAAAAAATTCGTAATTTGAGATGTTATTGGAAATTTACAATCACTCTGATCTACTGATATATGTAATGATAAAAAATTCGCAGTTTAGATGCATGTATTCGTTATTCACTATTAAAAATTTACATCATTTTAATCTGATGATATATGTAATATCAAAAAAAAAAAAAATTCTATAATGAGATATTTAATTTTATAATCTTTTTACAATCACTTTTCTTGTGAAACAAGCTTTTTAGTACTACGCAATTAATAATAAAAGCCTGAAAAGTCTTTTCAAAAATTAACAGATTCTTGTTGTTCATTAAACTTATATTTAATTATGAGAGAATTCCGTTACTTTATAGTTATTATCGCATATCTTCTCTACTTATTTTATTTAATATATAACATCGTAATAGATAAGCCAAACTTAAAAGTTGAACAAATCTTCTTGCATGAAATTGACATTCCTGGTAAGATTTTACTTTTAATAAATTAAAATATTAGACTATTGAACGGTTACGCTAAGCAGACGCTTTTTATTTACAATAGATATAGCAATATGTGGAACCCCAGAATTGAGAATTTTACGATGTGACTTAATAACAAATAATGGCGAGAAAACCCCAATTGATGGCTGTAATAGCTATATAACTCCTAATGCAATCGATCATGATAATTATGATAATTATAGAGATAATTGCCTAGTCTTCAAAGCAAATAAAACCATCAAGTTTGCCAAACCAAACAGTGGCATAAGTGGTTTGCAAAAGATTGGCTTCTATTTCTATGATGATACGACCGCTGCAGAAATAAACACTCTTGGCATAGCTGCACTTACCATACAATTAACTCCTCCTGGTAAGTAATAATCGCTCGGAAATCACATTTGGTTTGATATTTTGCTAATTAAAATTTTATTTGTTTTGAAATAGATTTCGATTTTAATTCATTGACAAATACAAACAAGGCTATTAGTCAAATGGACAAAGCTACTCTGTCAGAGTTTAAGCTTCAATTGAACTTTATTGCCGGAATGGTCAATTATGCTGCAGTGGTAAGATATTTCACATATTTAATTATTTAATTAACGTCATATTTATTAATTTTTTTGTTATGTACCTTCAAGGTCAGGTTTAAAACGAGTACTTATAGGTCTATCCTTCCGGGTGACACTCGTGCCATTTTTGGATTAGAGCCCAATTACCACGTGACACCAAAAATAGAAAATTCTGTCAGCTATATTCCTTTTAATAGTAATCCGTATAATATACCAGTAGGAACAACCGGTTATTTTTCTATAGCTGCTGGAAGCTTTACTCAAGAACAGACAAGCGAAGAACGGTAAGTTAATTGTTAATATTCTAGTTATGATAATTATGAATATTACATTAACATCTAATTTATCAACCCTATAGAACAAATACTATTTTTGGTGCGATTACAGCATTCGGTGACGCTTTTGGTTAGTAGCTTTAATAATTAATAATTTAAAACTATGAATTAGTTTTATTAATTCTTTTCTTTTAATATTCATTAGGCACTTTGGCGGGTATTATAGTAATTTTTTTTGGTAATTTCTTCTTTGTACGTAAATCTCTTAATTCCATACAAGATTCAAAAGAATTCATTGAGCGTAGTAGATTTTATCCGAAACTTGATTTCAAATTCTCAAAAATTAACGACAAAGATAAGGGAGTACTTATAGATGAATTTAGTAAGATTAGATGCGCAATTTTTCTCTACCTGTTAAAAAATGATTTAAACGAAATTAACGAAGAACCGATAAATGAGTCTGAATATAAGCTTGAGGATAGATTTGCAACTAAGGTTTATCACTGGCTGATGAATAAAGCATATATTGATATAATGTTTAATAAATATAGAGTCCAAAACGAAAGCCTAAATTTTTCAAGTATGGATAAAGAAGATCAAGAATTGCTTAATAAAGAATTTCGAAAAATTAGACATGTTATTTCTACATACGTGTTAGAAAATATATCAGAAGATCAAATGGATCAAAAAATGTTTGCTGAGTACAAATATAAACGAGAATTAAAATTTTCTAATAAAGTAGACAAAGGAGATGAGAAATTACTCAATGATGAATTTCGCAAGATTAGAAAGTTGATTGATAAACATTTGTTAGATGAACCAAATATTGAGAAAATATTCGAAGCATTCAATTCTCAACGAGAAGATTTTTCAAATGATATGGGCAAAGAAGATAAGGAATTGCTTATAGATGAATTTCGCCAAATTAAACACGTGATTTGTAGCCACTTATTAGATATACCAAAAGATGAAGAAATAAAATATAATAATTCTGTTGAAAAGGTAAAATTATTAAAAATTCACATAAATGACAGGAAATTACTTGTATTTGAATTTTATAAAATTAAACACGTAATCAATAGCATCCTGTTTAAAGAACTGAAAGATCGAGGAATATATAAAAAATATAAAATGAATCGAGAATTAAAGTTTTCAAATAAAATGAATGAAAAAGATAAGAAACGGCTTAAAGACGAATTTCGCACAATTAGATATTTAATTGATAACTTCCTGTTAAATGAATCAAAAATCCAGACAAATATAAACTTTTTAGAGAATATGGATAGTAGGGATAAGGAATTGCTTGTCAAGGAAGATCACAACAATACTAGAAATGATACTGATAGCTACGTATTAGATAAGGTATAGGTGTATAGTATACAATATAGATTTCTTGTATAATATTATTTATATATATAAATAAGATTTTAATCCTATATATTTATTTGATATTTAATTTTATCATGCATTTATTTTTCACGCATTTTTTTGGAAGAAAAAGTTAAGACAGTTAATACGTTATAAATATACAGAAAATGCAAAGAAAATTTGTAACAAATCCTCTGATATAGTATAATGCACAACACATTTACTTCATATTAAGAAAAACAAGGTCGTTTAATGAATAAATTCATTCATTGTTCTGAGAAATTGGGTTTTAAGTCATTATATCTTAATTAATAAAGTTTCATCTACTGTCCTTGCTGTAAGCATTTTTTAATATATCTTCTAATTTAATACGAAACTTATTAATGATATCATAAAAGGTTATATGGTTAATAATTTAAAATTGTGATATAAACTATTAAATATTTAGTTTGATGATCCATAACAATCTTTAATTGAAAAGCCACCAAAAAAATATATATTTCTGAATGTGCTTTATTTATTTATGGATTAATTCATGCTAAAAAGAAACCCACAAAATGATGAAATTTTCAAGAGTAGTTTATAATATTCAACAGATCTTAAATCATTTTAACCTATCTTTATTTACGTTAATAAAGGTTTCATTTTTTGTTCTTCCTCAAGTGTCGATCCGAGCGTCAGGTGTCAAATCATCTGATGCACATCAGCTGTCACGAGCAGTATACATAGTTACATACAGTATTAGTATATAACTAGGAAACGGAAACCGTTGTAAGTCCAGAGCGAAAGATTTGTACAAAAATCCAAATATCTTTAAAAATTTAATTTGTACAAAAAATCTGGCATCCCTAAAAAAATAAAAATGAAAAATGAAACGTTAGAAACGTTTCTTTAAGGTTAAACAAGTAAGAAAAGCCCTCACAATTTACCTTTAAAAGTCTGGCATGTACAAAAAACCTGTGTTCCTAGATAAAAGAAAATAAAAATGAAACGCTAAAAACGTTTCTTTAAAGCAAAACAAATAAAAAACAACTCACCAGTCCGGTATGTACAAGAAATCCAGAAACCCTAGGAAAAAAATAAGAAAGTCGTTTAAAAGAAAAATATACTTACTAGCCGAAATCTAAAAAAAAAGGTAATCATAAACTTTTTTACTTATTTATTTTTGATGTAGCATGAAATTTCAATACACATTCTGTGCGGACCAATCAGAAATGACGCGTGCGGACAACCGGAAATCGCCACGTGACACTAATTTTCATCGACCTTCGTAAAATTATATAGTCCTTCGCTACGCTCCGGACAACAAGAAACTATTCGGAATTCGGAATTTAGATCCGCCTGTCGCCCGTGCATTCGGTAGGATGTTCTTTTTTTGAATAATTAGGTCCGATAATAAAAAATATCTGCTGTAACTGCTTAAACAAAGTTTGAATGAATCCATTTTAGAAAGAAACCGATAATATTGTTTCATTATTCAAAAAAAAAAAAAAAAAATTTTTTTTTAGAAATTCCTCGTGAAAAAAAGTAGAAACCAGCTTATAATGTGTAATGTTTTAATAATGATTATAAATAATTTGGTCTGGTAAACAGGATTTTTTTTTTCATTTATTTAAATAAAAGAAATTCTAAATAGAGTTTAGTACAAAAAAAAAATAATAGCATCTGGGAAATTTATTTTGATTGTTCCAGATTTATAAAATTCAATAAAATCATTTCCAAAAAAAAATTTTCTGTAACAATAAGAAACAATATCAATTGGTCACGCGATAAATATGACAAATTTCAAATTTCCAATACTATTCACATGATTAAAAAAATATATATATATATTTTTTTTAATGAGCATATTTTGTATATTTTGCAGAAGTAATTTCAACAAAACTTTATTTGTATACAGTATATTTTCGTTAAACTTGATCACATGAATGAATTTTGTTTTGTTGTTATTGTATGTCTAATGATTACCAAATTTAAATTTTTAAAAATTCAAACTCCAGTTAATTTGGTTTCAAAAAATTTTCCGCTGAAAGGATATATTCTTATTCAATAATAATATCATAATGTAAATTTATTTGAAAAAAAAATTTTTCCTTCAATACTCACAGGAATATTAATTTTATTAATTTTAATCTAATAGTACAAGGAACCCTTATGCATTGATGCATCTCTATGTCCGTCTCACACAGTGCAAAAGACAACCGACCGATCTATAATCACGAAGTTTCAAATAATACATAATAAAAACTGCGTACTTTGATCTAGCTCTGCAATGTTTACCTAATTGATACACAAATATTAATGATTTTGATATTCGTTAATCTTCTTATATTCACTTGATCCTCTACATATTTACATGTAAATGAGCATCAATTTTACATCGATAAATACTATAAACAAATAGTCAAATATCATTATTCATTCAATTGTTTACTACAAGTAAAAAAAAAGAAATGAGCGAGCCTTAAATATTATTTTGTGAAATGTGAATTTACAAGGAAATAGAAAAAGATATACAGATCTTTTTACGTAACTCACATATTAAATTGCAGAAATTTGTCCAAATATCTTTCTCAACAATTGATGGTAAAAGTACATCATTAACTCTTAGAGAATCATTATTGGAGAAACTAAAATCAACAAATAGGATGGAAGAAAAAAAGTATAATGGTTGCTATATCCATACCATAAACCAGATACATGGTTTCATTGCTTTATGTATTTTCTTCAGTATAAACATATCATATCCATCGCAGAAAACTAAAGCATAACGCACCCCTATAGAGTATAAGGAATTCTTACTGCCACTTTACCAGTTATGCCATCTAAGTGTTTTAGTTTGAAGAAAAATTTGCATATTCTCCAAATATGATGCTATTGTGTGCTTTTTCATAAATTAAGGATTTTTATTTCTATATATGTATGCATTCTGGCTCAAATTTCATAAACAACATATCTAAAAAAAAGAAATTACATTAGTTAAAATTATTATTATTAAACTACAAACTATTAGAAATATTTACCATTATTTTGTCTTTTTTTTTTACCAAAAGAACTAGCGGCTAAAGATGTATATCAGTATATATATCAATAAAAAATTCGGTACAGCAGTTTTAGCTCCAAATCTCCAAATATGAAACTTGTTTTGCATGACGGATTCTATTTTAGAATACACTGTGACTAGTGCTTCGATCCGGATGAAAACTTGAATATTTTCATGTGACGATTATGGCTGAGAAAGATTATGAATTTCAGATTTAAACAGACTATAATTTAAACCAACATTAAAGTATTATTATCCCAAAAATTTATACTAATTCTGGCCAAACTCATAGTGCCAGCGAAATTTAATGAAATTCAATCCGGACGAAAATCCGGATAAAACCGCTACGGATCGAAACACTAACTGTGACTAACTATATTCATAGATTATTTATCCACTAATCTAAATCTATTGAGATTTTGCCAATCCTTTTTTGATTTAATTGACTAAACGTTACAAGTTAAATAAACAAAAATGTTCTTAGATATAATCGTTTGTAATTTACGAACTTTTGAAAATTGACTCATTATTTATCAATATTAAAAAGTACAAAAAATTAATAATAATGAGGACTTAATATCTATTACCATTTCATTATTAAATTTTAGTAATTAATTGTTTTTTATATATAAGATTATGGTTTAGAAATGATAATAAGCAGGATAACAACGAAATGGAAGCGTTTAACAGAAAAACATATAACTGCAATATGAAATATGGTCGTTATTCTAAAAATAAAATAACATCATTTTTTAAAGAAAAGATTAATGAAAGATTGTGGTAAAAACAAAGAAGCTTAACTTCAAGTACATCAAATTGTATAATATATGATACAGATTTTATAGGGTTTAAACATTTATTACTTGCAGTTAGAAGCACTTAGTAAAATCTTGTTATATTATGTTAATAGTGCAGTGAACTGGGATCATTATTCAAATACTAATGAAACAATATATTGGACAAGTGGCGATAACGGGAATATAATTAAATTTATATTGCAGACGCATTAAAGATTTTATATGAAAATGATTTTACGATATGTAAACATGAACTAGCAGCTGATTATTAGGAGTAGCTTTATTTTCTAAATTATATGTCTCATTACATACAGTATTTATTTATGAACATGTATTCTTAAAATATTTTAAAAATAAGTTAAAAAAAGGACTAGATGAAATTGATGGATAAAACAAATTATTATACGGTTAGATCAAATCGTATTACAGTCTAACCTCGATATACCGATATTCGACATACCGATATATTATTAAAAACTTGTTATACCGATAAAATTTTATTTTCCCACTATATGTGAGGACATATAAATATCAGTATAACTTTGATATAACGATATTTTCTAAAAATTTCATATATGTCCCGACATATCGTTATATAAAGGTTTGACTGTATATTGTTTTATTGTATGAAAAGACGTGATCAGCTACTTTTTGATAATAAATTTTTTACCGACTTAAATAATTAATGCATCGCGTGAAACTTTTTAAGATACATACAGTATGTTAAAATATAACTAAAATTTCATAAAATTTTATTTATACGATAAATAGGAAAACTACATTAAATAAAATATATTATACATGATAGAATTGCTATCATTTTCGGTTAAACGATCTTGAGTTGATATAACCTCCGAAGTTGTATAATATAGTTGATGAAAATCTATACAGTATAGTTGCAAATTAACTATACTCTGAATATAGAAATTTTTAATGTTATACTGCTATACTTTATAAATTTAGTACATATTATGAGCTTATGAAGTTGCTAGATAATTTGATAAACTTTGATGTTCAATAAAAAAAAAAATTTTAAAATTAAAAAAATTTTCCTAATCACTTTTGTTATTTATTTATGCATTTTTAAGTAAAAAGAAATCAAGATTCAAAGAAGACATATATATTGAACGCTCTACAAAAAGAAAATAAAATGAAACGTT